TTTCCTTCTGAATGGAAAGGTTAAATCCTTGGGAGCTTAGTAGTGCTAGAGTAAGAGCACTGAATAGTGGAATAATAGACAGCACCCAGGGAATGCGGGACATGTCTACACAGTGCCCTGCAGCACTGTGCTGCATTAAGAAATAGGTTTGTAATCCTGCCCAGCATCATGCCACACTAGCCAATGCAGAGGAACAGACTTGGATCATGAAGTCACACTGAAGGCTGAGAGGGTTCCCCACATCTTAGGAAAGGGGTCTGTTTGTGGGTTTTAGAAGAAAGCAGTACTTTGTACACACATTAGCATAGCACAGAATGAAACTATTGCTATGGACCATAATATAGATCACTCTTTCCAAACAGACTTGTATTACCAGACGTGGGAGTGCTCTGGAAGCTATTTGATTATGGAAAACTGTTCTAACAAAGCCAGCCCACTCACTGATCCCATCATAAGACAACAGGTTTGACTGATGCACTTGCTGTAAGAGAAATCTCAGGGCTGCATCATAACTGTGCCAGCAGCTGCAGTTTAGAGAGCCCTAAACTCAAAGACACTCTCCAAGAAGACTTGCTCTCAGCCACTTGCAGACTTGCAAGGAAGAGAAACCACTGCTAGGCAGTGGAAGGTGGTGGCAAATAGCAAGACACACCACAAAAAGCCCCATAAGACTACACACCCAACGCAGGGTTAACATTTTTCATGTTCATATTAATCTGTCTGAAACTGATCCCGTTTAAAACCTCAGCAACCTTTTCTAAAAAACTGCTTGGGGGAAAACTATGAAGAATGCAAGTCTCTCTCAGCCCATGGCAACAAGCCCAATGGCACTAAGCAGCAAAAGAAAGTGTGCAGATTACCCAATAGAGCCTGTTGTTTATGAAGAACAGATCACAGCAGGTTAAGTTCAGCATGGAAAGGGAATGGCATTTATGCAAAATGCAGCATAACAGCAAAAAGGAAAGTGCAAGTCTTGGGAACAGAAATTGGTTTTAGTCATGTCCAATTTTGCACAACAGTACATGATCACACTTTTATGCAATTAATCAAATTACTCCTACCAAACAAACATCATATGTTGCAAATAACACAAATTTTATCTGCGTGCTTATATTACTGTGGGCTAAGTGCAGAGAGCTTTTCCTATAGGAAGCAATAAACCCCACAGACTCAAATATGAAGAAACAGCAATTCCAGAGCAAAGCTACCTTTTACAGTAATCCTATCATGCCTGCAATGCCACCAGCTCTCCCATGCTGCAAATCCATGCCACATTTTTACATGTGTAAATGGTGCTAAAAAGGGATTTGTTAAGATCTTTGCAATACACAAGCTCCCAGAATAAGGGGAGCAGCACACATGGTGCATAGAAAAAGTTAAGAAAACCTATGAATTGACAGGTGCCTGCTCCCCTTCATGCAGTACACAAAATCTGTTATAACTAGCCACATGCCTACAAAAACTGGCCATCCAAGCAACAGAATTGGTGGCAGCACTTCTTTTCAGTCTAGATTTTACAGACAATGAAAAAACCCACGGATTATACAAGTGTTTAAGACACAGAGGATGTCTCTAACACTGGGTTTAAATGCAAGACAAACCAAGGTTTTTGTCTTCAGACCCTTCTTCCTCTCACCCTTGTTGCTACATTCAACTGCAGCGAAGCAGGAGGAGATAGGCTGAGCATGGTCTCCTCTCTGCAGCCACTGCCCCATGCAGCACACGCTGCTTGTCACAGAACATCAGAGTAGCCGTGTTCTCTTCACCACTCTATAGCCTCATCCAATTTACATTGGAACCAGCTTCAAATTCAGTTTTGTACTGTATGCAGTTCCACAGCTGGAAAGGGCGGTCTTGATCGACTTTCAGCAGAAAGAGCCTCACTTAATGCTGCTTTCAGTCATTGCTGCTTTCAATTTAGCTTCTAATCAATAGGATAATGATAAACCACTAAAGCAACAGTTCAATCTGGTTAAGACCAAGCAGGTTCTGTGAACATGCAGTTACCACTACCAAATGCAGCTCCCAATCCTGTGCTGTTTGTGTTTTTCACTCCTGCAAAACTTTCAAGAATTTCCAGCAAGTAATTAGACAAAAACCCAGATCTTTTGAAGTCTGATGGCAAGGACAATGATGTAGGCCTGAACACCTACTGTGTATGCATCTACAAAAAAGAGGGTCAGCTCAAGATCTGAAAGAAAATTATCTGCATCTTGAGTGAGTGCTATAACAATTAAGACATTTAATATTCTAAATATATTCATGCATCTTTGTTTCCCCTCTGAGAAGAATTTTTCTTCTACCCAAAATATTCCTCCAATAACAGTAACATAGAAGGAGGAAAGTTGTTGAAAAAATTTCCCTAACCAACTCTACATGCAGGGTATACCCTGAAGAGTATGCATCTGCTTAGATTCCTGTTGGGATGCGGATTCAAGGTTGAAGAGCACTGTGGGTGTTTTTCATAGAATCTTCATTGAGAGATGCTGCTGTGTTCTGGACTTCCCGACTGAGATGTTGGAGTCTGGATGGAGCAACTCTCTGGGTACCGAACCAGAATAAGATAATAACAGTTCTGAGTTGACTTCAGCAAGGTCTCAGGGACTTCGAGAACTGGCCTACACAGCTCCCCTGCAGAGCAGAACCCAGGGGTGGGTGCCAATTGTCTGCACAAGAGATGCAGTATCCAAACCACCTCCACCAGATGAAATTGATGAGTTGCTGGAAGCAAAAACTGTTTAGACTGTTCACCAAAATTCTAATTTATACATCCTTTTAAAATCAAAGTTTAATTAATTTGGACCAGAAACTAAAGGAAATATTTGTCTCAAATGCAGATTGAAACCAGTTAGCTTCCTCAGACATTGTTTTTCATTCACACTTTATGCAGGGACAGTGACCTTAAATGCTGCAATATAAATGAAGCTGGTTCCTGAGGTATGTGGAACGTGGGGTATTTTTATGATCCAAGGAATGATATGAATTCCAGTTAATTCCAGCTACAAAGAGATCAGAGGCTTCCTTCATCATGCCAGGTAAAACAAAAGCATTTCAGTGTTCACAGATAGGATTGAATGGAGGAAGAATGTGAAATATCACTTGGCTGCCAGCTGAAAACACACTGTTTTTGTAAGCAGTTTCATGCTGCCCCTCCACTTGCAATCCACACTGGCCAGGGAATGTGCAGGAAAGAGGTCCAGCAACTGCTCTGCAATCCAGACACCGGTACCAACCTTGCAAACAAACCTGTCTGAAACAAAGCTTTATCAACTGCACTCTCAGTCCAGATTATTAGGATAAAAATTTCGCCCCTACTTTACTCTCTGAGAGGTTGATGGGCAGATGACAGAGACACTGCAAAGTCAGCTTTCCTTCCCCATGTTTTCTTGAACTATAAAGTTTAACATGGAACACTTAGTTGGCCCACTGCACTAGGTTTTATAGGTATTCCCCTCCAGTGCCAACATAACCTGAGCAGCTCTACACAAAATAAAATTTCAACATCTAAGAGTATAGTTGGACTGCAAGAAACTGCAGACACCTTCTCTCTTCCCCCCACCTTCCCAAGATGGTCCACACTGTACACAAATATGATGCCGCTCCAAAGAAGTATGTGGAGTTGGCAGGATGGATAAAACTTCTCACTTCACCATTAAAATCAAAAACAAAACAAAAACACTCCCACACACTAGATAATGGGAGTGTAATGCTGAGGGGGGGAATAAAAATTTTTGGTGGGTTATCACAAGAAAAATCTTTCCTCTCCTCTTCCCCCAGGCATCACAAAGTGTTTGAACCAATCCCAAAGCTTTTTGTCTTTCTCATCTTTTTGAAGCCAATATTGATTATATTTTGGAATTTCTTTTTTTACCTTCAAAAGACTTTGCAAAAAATAACTAATGAATGTTAAAATTTCTCTTAGGCACAAGATCTCTAGAGTAGTGTTAGATATAGGGAAGCTAAGGCAAAAGAAGTTGTGTGATTTACCTGAGTTCACAAAGTAGAGGTCATCAGGGTTGCAGGATTTTGGCATTTTGAGATGCATGCCAAACTGAGCAGATAGCATACCCCTCCTACCTGTTAGGAAACTGCACATGAGCCATTTTTAACACCCAGTTCAGTTAGCATTGGGACACTACTCAGTAAGCTAGCGGTAACAGAACCAAGTATCACTCTTCATTTCCACCCTGCCTCAGCAAACTACTACTCTCAAAATCTCCTTCATAAGAGCTTTTTCTTTTTGCCATACTTCAACTTCTCTGGAATTCTGTATGACCTCTCCCAGTCCCACTGTTTCTGAAGGATCCTCATTGACCAGGACTAACTCTTCATTTTCCATAGGTATTAAAAGCCAACAAATCATAAGCCTCCGCTGCTACCCCTGCCTGAGGTAACTGCTTATCAAGAGAAGCAGCATTATGAAACACATCTGCAATCCCAGTACATCATTTAGTTTCAGCAAGCGAACAGTGAAAAATCTAAAACTCAAACAAAGCAGTCTCAATCACCTCTCTGCCAGACCCCCAAACCACAACAGGGCACAGAACAGGAAAGAGGAGTCTGTCATTAACAAGTACACTGCAGAGTGAAGGCTCAACATACCACTCTTTTTTTTTCTGGGATAGATGAAGCACAGGTCCAGCAGAAGAAGTTTGGTCTACACTGTTCTGTGAGAGCCACAGCTTGCTTTGCAACTCATCTTCAGGGAAAAAATTGACCTCCCCTGCAACTTGTTTTTGTTTCTGTGCTATGCTGGATGTTGATGCCATTTGTTTCTGTGCTACATTGGAGGTGGATGCCATTACATATGTATGTGTCTTAGGGTATGGTGACCAAATCAAAGCTTCCGGTTGGTTAAACAAGTCCCCAGCTTTCAACATTTTCACATAACCAAGTCAGAGCGAGCACCCATGCTGCTATCATCACTTAACTTATGCCTTAACAGTGAATCTCCTGCAGTCACTGGGAACCTGGCTGAAGGAAGCCAACAGAAATTTTACCTGCGTGAATGATCCATCCTCATTGCATTCAGGGATGAAGACGGCTTCCTGGGGCTTCTTTGCCTGTTCCAGTGCTTGAGCTCTCTCTAATCGACATTTGCTTTGGCCAGCATCTACAAAGATGAAAGCAAAACCCACTTAGATTGCAAACACCATTTGGTACACGGACAGACCCCAAGCAAACAAATACAAGGCATCAAGGAGCACTGTCTGTACATTAACGACTTAGCTATGGAGTTTACACTCACAATCCCAAAGACAAATATGAACCTAGACAATCAAACTATGAGACAGGAAATGAAGAGCTGCCTGATTTACTAGGTTTTTATGGTCATCCAAGAGCTCTGGAAGCTTCTTCCAACAAGTGCTGGAGCACAGTGTCCATGAAGTGAAAGGTCTTCCCAGAGGGAGTTATGCTTCCGTTAGTATTAACAGCCTGAAACTGGATGCTGAGCACAGGCCAAGTAATTCAGGCCCGGAAGCGAGCAATGTGAAGAAGGGATTGCCCCAGCAAACCTCCTTCTCTAAGCAACTCACAGTAAATGCTAAAATAACTAGCCACCCATCTGAACTTCCACCTTTGTGCAGTTCAGATGAGGTAGATATGCCACGGCCTGTGCTTTTCTGAAAACCAGCTTCTACCTCTAGTCCCAGTGCTTACAGTCAGGTATGCATTAATACTTTCTCCTACTTTGCTTCCAAGAAAAAACATCGCTTTGCAAGCAGAACTTGCAGGGGATTAAAAACTCAGCTCTGCAGTTATTTCAGATGATGGCAGGATGTAGCATGACCTTAACCCCTTCCAGGTCCAGCTCACTGTTACAGAGCACAGACCCAGATAAGCCTAACACTGATGACTGATGAGTCAAAGAGGAGAGTTCTGCCCTGCAGAGATACAGATTGACTCAGTGTTTACATTTAAAAACACGATGTCTAACAGTACAGCTGTTCAGTCTAGAAAAAGAAGAAAAAAGCACACATCTGTTTCCATGGGGCTGACACAGGGACTAGCACCTTCTTCCTTCTCTGATGAATCCACTGACTGAAATATTTTCAGTGCAGGAACTTCAAAATCTGATAATTGGAATCCTTCAGCAGCACCACAGAGTGATTAAGGTTGAATTCTCACTCTACCAGGCACAGAGATCACAACATTTAACAAAAAAATTCCACTGGATCCCTGAAGATCCCATATTCTGCTTCACAGATGGCATGAACTTCAACAACAAAATCACCAATACTAGCACTGAATTAGAAAGCCAGTCTGGCTTCTCAGATCAACTGAATTCACACTGCATATCAAAAGAAGCAATTTCCATCTAAGCCTATCTAGATGCAGAAACGAGTGACATGGCTATAAATGGTTTTGATAAAGACATAGAGCAAAGCTTTCAAGCAGAGTCCTTTATTTACACAACTGGTGACACAGGAGACTAAGTTTCCAGTTTGCCAACATAGTTTCATTTTTAAACACATTACATTACTCCCCAAGAAGGATTTCGTAAGTCTTCTGAAATTATGGAAATCAAACCCTACTCTTTGGAAAAAGTCATTATTCATAGCATTAGTATTCAGCATAGATGCCTGTAGCTTAGGCACTGGGTCAACAAAGCAAGAGTGCCTGTATCAACTCTGCCACTGACCCACAAGTTGGTCACCTCACCTCCCTATGACCTTGTGTCCCTTCTGATCCTATGTCACTCATCTTTAGACTCTAATTTGTGGGGTGTTTGCACAATACACTTAGCACATGGAGCTTTGATCTCAGGTGGACCTACTATGAGCTTGTATAAAGAGCAAGACTGTTATTCACAGAATGAGAAGACTTTCTTGAATAAAATTTACATTTAATTTAGAGAAGCAGTATTTGGTTTTCTAATTAACCATGATATGACCTCTAAAGTAGAATTTCCTTTTCTCCTGGTTGCCAAAGTGACCAGATGATCAGACCTTGTTTGCACACCTCCACTGGAGGATGGTCCTGCCAGCCGTACTGACCCTTCCAACACATGCTTGTTCTTTCAGCTGAAAATGAAGCACTGTCAATGCTGTTAAATGGAACACCTAACCATCACCTGCAGATCTCCTGTTCAAGCTTAAGAGTCTAATTTGCTTGGCATGACATAGGACATTATTGCAAAACCAGATGGTGTGTCTGCACCTTGTTTTATAGCAAGCTGTCTGACAAGAAACACCTTCAAGTTCTGCTCCATAGGAGACAAATAAGTAGCAAAAAAATCAGCAGAGATTATGCAGATCTGCACGTAATAAGGAAAGGGGAAAGAAACAAAAAAAAAAGAAAGAGTTGTAAATTTCTCACATGAAAATCAAACCACAGATTCACAAATGAGAGTGTGTTTTCTAGTCTCTCCATCTGAGGATACAGGACTGCATACAGGCATATGTGGTTCCTCTCCTGAAGATAAAGAAGCATAAAGCATTTCCACATAGCATCTACTTCAGTGCTGGCACCCTCACACCTACATGACTGAAACTGGATGCTTCACCACATAGCTGGTAGGAACAAACATGTTGTGCTATCCCCTGTAGTATAAATACATTAGAAGCCCAGACAGAAGAAAACTAACTCAGATCTTTGTCCAATTTGTCTAATGAGCAAACACGCATACAATCAAGCCCTTATTTTAAGGAGAAGATAATATAAACATGTTACTGCTAAGGTGACTATGTCTCTCCTAGCAATTTTAACTGGCCTTCATAGATTGAACTCTACTATCACACCGTGTAGCACACCACCACTACGCCACTGCGTTTAAGAGCTCATCACTGTTGCAGCATCCTGTGTTGCAATTCAACCCTTGGCTCAAGTGATGTCTCTTTGCAGATTGTTGCTGAAGGGTAGAGAAGACAAGACAATTTTTCTCCTGTTCATGAACGCTCAGCTCTGATTACTTCTCCCATCCTCCCTTATTGATTTCCAAAGGCCATGCCCGTCTTTTCACAGCCTTAACTTGGAATAACCACATATATACCACCCTGGTTGGACGGGTGTGTGCATACTGCTATCTCTTTTGTCTGTCATTTCACAGTTCAGTACTAGTAAAAACAGTGCCTTTAATATGAACATTTACCAGTTTTGTTTTTAAAAGGACTGTCAATCCTTTTCTTCCTCACTCTGCAGGCTGGTATTTTTATAATGTTTGCATCAGCATGTGATTTCAGTGGGATGACTTCACCTTGCTATTTCTGCTTTGTTAATTAGAAAATGTAAAATATTACATAAGTGCCAAGAAGTAGCTGCCAAACAGCTCACCCCAAATCAGATGCATTACAAATTTTACTAAAGCATGATGTTATGATGTAGATTCACATACCCTATTCTGAATTTCGATTGTTAATCTGAGTGTTTCAGAACTTTTTCTTCCTTCTTAAAAATGTTCTCTGGGGTATCAAACACCAAGCTTATAAAACAGAATACCACTAATACATTTCAGTTTCATGATCCAGACAAAATAGGAATTTCTCCCCTCACATAAGGCGAAAAATCTAAACAGGGTGACTTCTTTAAAAACAAAGCCATTTAATATTTTAATTTTAAATATCTTAGGTCAGATTTACTGCAGCTCAGATAGTTGCCTTTTAAAGAAAATTATTTCTTGAGTTGGTAGCTGGCAACTAGATTGTGAACTACAAGTGATGTTTTTGACATCTGTGGCCTAATCTGCAGAATGCAGAATCACAGAATCATCTAGGTTGGAAAGGACCTTGGAGATATCTAGTCCAACCGTTCAACCTAGCACTGACAGTTCCCACCTACAGCATATCCTTAAGCTCTAAGTCGACCCGACTCTTGAACACCTCCAGGGATGGGGACTCCACCACCTCCCTGGGCAGCCCATTTCAACGCCTAACAACCTGTTCTGTAAAGAAATGTTTCCTGACATTTAGTCTAAACTTTCCCCAGTGCAACTTGAGGCCATTCCCTCTTGTCCTGTCGCTTACTATTAGGCTAAAGAAGCTCAAACCCAGCTCTCTGCAGCTTCCTTTCAGGGAGCTGTAGAGGGCGATGAGGTCTCCCCTCAGCCGCCTCTTCTCCAGACTAAACCTCCCCAGTTCCCTCAGCTGCTCCCCATCAGACCTGTGCTCCAGACCCTGCACCAGCTTTGTTGCCCTTCTCTGAACACACTCGAGTCATTCAATGTCCCTTCTGTAGTGAGGGGCCCAAAATGGAACACAGTCATCAAGGTGCAGCCAAATGCAGGTGCACATAATTTTCGATTTTGCAATGAAGTTGGCTAGTTACCATGGTTGATCTTATCCATGAACAGTTTATTCAAATGAGACCACTGTGTCCTTCATAATATACACAGTGCGCTCCTGAACAGGCCCCAAGAATTCCAGCATCCTCTCTTCAACAGGCAGAGGCAGTTTTGACACTAGGCATCATGGTATAAAGACCCAAGCTATTCTACTAACATAAAGTAAAACATCAAGACATCCACACAACACTAGCAGTAAATCTATATGATGCAACCCCCAAAATCTAGCTATTTAATTTAAATTCTACTTTGTTTTTATCAAAAGCTCAAAGGGCAAAAATTGATCCAAGCAGCTTGTGAACTATTTTTAGTTTCATTAGTTAACTGTCTCACATACAGTCCAGGTCCCCACCAGGCACGAAGCAGTCCAGCTACACTGAAGTCAGCAGATTCATACCCATTTACTCCAGCCAATGATCTTTGTCTTTGCATAAAACAGGAAAAAAAAATGGAACCTGAGCAAACTACAAACACATGCCCATCTGTCCCACAGGGAGTCAATCATTCTTCACTCTCCCCATTGTTTTCCACTTCATTTCTGACAAGTCCTATACCTGGAATCTCCAACAACATGCTTTGCTCCTCCTTTGATACCCACATACCATTTCTACTCCAGAGTTCCCTAAGTTATTTGTAGCATACCTAAAAACATGACTAAACTTGCAAAGTGATTGAAAGCATCATTTAAGATTTTATTGACTAACTGCTGCCAAGGAGGGACCCACTCCCTTGACTAGGAATAAGAAAGTTCAAAGACAAAACACATGGATCTAGAAAGTGGACTAAAAATTATTTCAAAATACTATCTCCTGTCCAACAAGAACCGTAGGTGGAGGAAAAAGACTACCTTCAAACAACCCCATCACTAGGCAGAAGGAGACTTCCCTTCCCTGGACATTAGCCAAAGTTGTGTTCACCTATGTGTCCCTGGAGAAAGATTGAAGATCCCTGTTACATTTCTGACCAGTTGTTTACAGATAGCTTGTTCTTAGGTTTATTCTACATAGTGACTTGTGATCTATCAGAAGACTTCGAAAACCAATCATTACAAATCTAAAGGGAAGTTTTTAGAACACTCCCATCCCTTTTTTTTTAATTCAATAGGCCAAACAAGTTCCTAGAAACCAACCAGTTAACAAAGAAATGTGTTTTAAGTCACAGATATCCAATGCACCCTAACAATCACTGCATGATCTTGACAGCTTGCCAAGACTCATTTAACAAGTATTTGTCCTTCATCCCTGCAAAGTTTTGAGCAGAACTCTTATGTGACATTAGATCTTAAGATGTCTGCTAAAAGATCCAGGTAGAAGTGCTTGGCTGCGTATTTCACGCACAGTTACACCATCTGGAACTATTCTCTGGATTCTCATCAATGAGGCTCCATTTGTCATGGATGCCACAGTTTGATCATTTTAAGCTACTCCTGACTTTTAACCCTTTGTGATGTGTGAGTGAGGGTTCGGAGGGAGTTAAGATAATTTAGCACTGAAGGAATTTCATTGAAAAGCACATGAGGAAGCTAGCAAGGAGCAAGAGCTGAATAAGAGTTATAGTTCCCAAAGGGCTGGCAAGATTTAATCTTTAAAAGTCCTTAGCTGAATCAAAAAGGTTCTGTTCACACTATAGAAACCATTCTGTTTGCCTTGGCACAGTTCAAGTTCAAGTTATCGGCATATGAAATTGGAAACCTATGGTAATCTGGGGTGCAAAACTATGCTTTGCTGTCCACAATATACTTCCTCTTTACCTTATTTTAGTCACCTGGCTTTCTTCCCACCTCAGAGAGGGAAGCACAAGTTAGAACTGCTCATTTCATAAAGATAAGTTGTTGGATACAGTATCTATCACAACTGCATGTGACTGAGCTCGATGGCCCATGGATCGATCCCTTCCAGTTCTATAGTAGTTCACCTGTAGAGCATCTCAATCATGCAGAAGGAATGAAAGCCATTCAGGGTAAACCTGGTGCCCTACTACAGCAGAAGGTACTCAAACACTGCTGTTGATACTTTCCTTTGTGTGAGTACAAGATACAGACCTGGCTAACCTCCTGTAGTAGTTAGGCTCACCTATCTCACCTGTACTTGCCAAGAACAATGATCTTTATGAGCAACTAGAGGTCATATTCCTAATGCAACTAGAAAAACAGAATACCTTTCAATAGCAGCACAGAGGGAAATAACCAGAAAGGTTAAATTTGAATGTGATAGTTAAAAGAATATTCCTACTTCCAGTGATTCATGGGACTGTTAATGGGTTAAAACCAAGACTTGGAGTTGTCAAACACTCCCTGGTTATTAGGTACTGTATAGTACTACAGAGTAAGAGGAAAAAGGAAAGGAGAATGTGAGTAGTTTCAGCTAAACGTTATGGCTGTGTCAGAGAGCAGAAAGGAAAGTATGTCTTACCTTGCTTAAGACAAAGTCTTCAGTTACTTCTTTGGGACTCTTTGCAATCACGATATACAGTAGGCTGTGTAGTTTGGCAGTCAACATTTTCTTACTTCCAGAAACAGACACTTTTGTACATGGAGGTAATACATTTCAGATCCCATGTTTTAAGTAACTGAACAGTGCCAGTTTACATGCCATCAGCCATGGAGTTGCTTATCTAAGCCACTCTGCTCAAGTGTTGAAAGCAAAAGCAGGACTCCCACCCTACCACTTCTTATTGTGACACTCAAAAATGTATCACTTGCAAGGACAGTTCCAACTGCTTCTCAGGCCCTGAGAAGAAAGCTTCTGGGTTTTCAGTACTCAGAAAGCAGCATGATTCAAAAGGAGAGAAGCTGCCATAAAGCAACCCAGCAGCGATGAGGAAAAAAAATTAAAATCATACAAGTAATCTTTTTTCCAATAAGAAACTGTCTATAAAAAGAGCAATATTTGGGGTCATGCTCATGATTCACCTGAACTAGAAAGCTTGTCAATACATTGAGAAGGGATTTCCATTTTAGGACACGTAATTCTGACAAAGAGATATTTTAATAATAGTAAAAAAGCTTTTATAAACAAAAGCTAGGCTTAAACATACACCTATTTATCCTTCCACCGGGATTTTAATGAGTCTCTCCTGTCACTTTAACCAATTGCTAAAAACATCTGTGCCATTTGCCCTCTGATACAATTGTGTTCTCAGAAAATGCACTCAACTTGATTTTTCACTTCACTGCAGAAGCAAAACATTTGTGTGACAAGACACCAATATTCCTTAAAAAAGTTTCAACTTCATCTTTGGACTATGCTGAAGAAGAGCTGAATTGAGAAACAATATTCTCACTTAAAAGTAGATGTAACAGCAAACAATCAAAAAAGAGGCCATGTAAAGCTTTGCACGCATTCCGTCTTCTTAATTAGCTCAGCACAGAAAGGCTGTGTACATCTGAAAAGGGACTAGATGTCTAACATGCACTGCACATTCTTCCCCACTGCACATTCCTATCACTCAAAGGTATCACAGTTCCTCACCAGCATAGGTAGCAAGAAAGAGCTGCTCTTTCAGGATTTGATTTTGCATTTCCATGGGGCCAGCTCCTTCAGCTCTGCAGCCACATATTCTGGCCTTTTTCAGTGATGTGTCTAGCTTCTTTGCCTTCTTGCATTGATAATTCAGTCTGTTCTTACTCCTGCCACCTAAACCCAGACTCAGATACCCATGCTCACATGAATGTACAACTCCAATCAGATTACTCACAGAGCATGGTACTAAACTCAAGGGTCTAAGAATCCAGTTTCTTATGAGGTAGGACTCCCATTCTTCCCCTCAAAGGCATTGAAATCCACCTACCTTTGCACCGGCCACGATGAGTCACACTCAGACTTGACTCCCGGCATTTGGCTCTCTGGTAGTCGCACATTGACTCGTATGTTCTGCCATCAGAGGCACAGAGGGGTTTGGACTGGGACCTGGAGCAATGCAGGTTACACTGAGGGTCTCTGTCACGGTCACTTATTAAAAACTGGAGGAAGTGAAAAAAAAAATAGTGGTTTTGTTTGTTTTCCCAAAACAAAACAATTGTATTTTGTTTTTATGACAATAGCAATATGGTCTATAATGCAGTTTAAGCTACCTACCAAAGCTGACTTTGCCTGAAGGGGACTTAAAATGAAACACATACATCTTAAACAAAAAAAAAAAAGAAAAAAAAAGAAAAAAAAGAAAAAAAAAAAATTAAGGGTCTTTGCCATTCCATTTTCTTTAATAGAACGGAAACATTACTCACTCTGCCTCACCTCTGAAAACATAAGATGTGCAAAGCCAAACACAACCCACACAGGAAGGGCAATACTGAGTCACAACAGCCCAGATTGCCCAGCACCCTGCCACAAACAGCATCTGGTACTAGACAATTTTAGTCAGAGGTGCAAGAAACTCATCACCGAGGACAGAGGAACACAAATAACCTATCAAGATTGGCCTTGGTAGTTGAACCATGGATGTGGCCAGCTTTATATCACCAGTTATTTGTTAAAGCATTACTTATGTCATCTGTGGATACCACCTGCAACAGCATACCTGCACACTTCCAAAGCCACATTTTGTTCTTTCCCAGTGACATCCTGCCCAGCTGGCAACTGCATTCCATGCATCCCACAATCTAATTGCACATGATATGAAAAGCTTTTTCCTTTCAGAAGTCTGAATTTGTCATCTTTCTGAATAAGTCTTCTTCCCAAGCATTCAGTCCAGATGCAGCCTGTTTTGTGTAAACTCTTTTCTTGTCAGTCTCTCAATGTGAACCACCCCAGTTTCCCAATTCCTTGCCCAGAAGACTTCCTCTGTGCACCATCACTGCTGTTTCCCTTCTCTGAAGACAGCTTGGATTCTGCCCTGTCTTTTGGAGATGAGGAAACCCCATTTTCTGTCCACTTGTTCCCTGCAAATCTCAACATCTGGCAGTAGTTTACTGTGGTACCCTCAGCTGTACTCTGAGTTGGCTATAGGGCAACCCAGGTCTCTTTCTGAGAGTCATACTGTCTTCCTGAGGACCCTGACTGCCAGTCCTCTCCATAACCATTGGCATAGAGTTTCAGCAGGACATGACAGTAGCAGCTCCTTCCACTTTCCATGCTACCTGGCTTAGTGGTTAGTCAGTCGGATGATTAACTATTATCCAAACCCAACCACCTGCTCACAGGAAGATTTCAGGGGACTCTTGAAATAAGTCCCATGAGGATTAAGCAAAGAAAAGGAAAGTTAAACCTGCCTTGCACTTCCCCTTCCCAAGCTCCCATCTCTTAAGCCTCTTACAAGCCTGGGGGGACCAGAGCTGCTCTCTAATACACCAATATCCCAGCTTGCTGTCAGAGCAGGTACGAGCTCAGCAGTTCGGGGCTGGCTGGCAAGTGGACATTGACTGACATCCTGCCTGCATGCACAAAGCCACGGCTCTCCAAGTGTGTTGATAGCTGGATGCCTTACAGGGAAGTGTGAGTCACTGCCATAATCACCTTGGTGTTACAGTTGCCTACAAAGCTGTCTGCTCTATGCTTTGAGGTTAAAGCTGTTGAAAAAACATTGCCTGAAGCCTAGTTTGGGTTGGTTTTTAACCACTCCAAGAACATGCATCTCTGAAATTTGTTTTTTGACATTTAAAAAAAAAAATTCTTCACCTTCTTTATCTCCCCAATTAAATGAGATGAAAAACAATTGAGAAGTTGCATAGTTTCATATAAAAACATATTAACTCTGTACTGTTGGATCTTTTGAAGACTCATGCATTACTAAAAACCCTATTTAAACATGACAGCTGGGAAAAGTAAGCAAGATCTGCACTTTTAATTTCAGTGGGGCAAACTTTTTTTAAAATCTCATCTGTCAGAGACTTGCCAAAATTTGTAACAGCACGAAGTTTTTAAAATGATTTTGTTCCTTTTCTGCAACACTTTCTATAACCTGGCAACACCTGTTCCAAATGGGAAATTGGAAAATTTAAACCTGAAGGCAATTTTAAATGGTTTATAGAGACCTGGAGTAGACTATAAAAACACTGTAAAGCTGGACCAGATTTTTGTCCAGTTCTTGTCAGGGGTTGGAGTATCACAAGTTAGCTTGGAACAGGTCTGGCTACAGTAATGTCTTTCTGTAGCCCCCAAGGTGCAAAGATCACCAGTGACTGTAAACACACAGCAAAAAGCAGCAGACTGAAGATGCTGAAGCTTCTTCCCAGAGTGTGATGTCAGAGACCCTGAAAGGCTCTCAAGGCTTTTCAGCTGTCTGTATAAACAGACTTTAAAAGCAGAGCTGCCCGATAGCACAGTATAGTGCACATATAGCGATTAAGTATTCAGTTAAACACAGAAGCCATTCTGGTTTAGAAGGAATGCATGCATCTGCCATTTATCACAACTTTGAGGGCTTGAGCTACTGGCATGAGACTTTTTGCCAATTCCTTCTGTCAGAAGCTGAGTTCCACAGATCAGAGTTATCCAGAGGTGCACCAAAAAAGCTATTGATTCCCAGCATGAAACCAAATTATTAACTTACTGAAAAGTCAGCTTGTATCATGAAAACTCCCCTAAGCCTTCTGCAGCCTGTACCAAAATACTTAGTATAGAGGGGACTTGCAGGCCAGGAATGCCCCTCCTTCCAGAAAGGGCATCTCTGAAGAATAGAAAATCTTTCTCAGGGCTGACAAATGAGCTAAACCTAAGGCTATTGAACAGCTTTCCTCCAGTGCCTTCACGCAGAGGGATGAGGAGGAACAGCTTGGCATTGATTAATTATGAGGGCCTGAGAAAACATGCAGAGCACCCCAATGCAGTCTATGAAGCTCTTGCCTACCCAAATTAAGCCGAGAACCATGGTTTTATATATATATCTGTCTCTTATACACATC